ATGCTGGCCCCACCCCTGGGCGCTCTGAGCTAGCCAGCAAGACTGGGGATGATGGCACATGTTTGTAGTCCCAGTGCTGGAGAGGCTGAGAATGGGGGGATCACTGTGAGTCTGAGCTGCGAAGTGAGACCCTGTACAAAAAAAAAAAAATGTAGCAGTGCTTATCTTCAACATATAGTCTTGTTACTTTTAAGATTTAAAAAGTAGTTTCAAACTTTACATTAACATTGCAGAAATAGTCCACAGAGAACTCACATATACTCTTCACCCAGGTTTGCCACTTAACATTTCACCACATATGTTTTGTCATAGTCTCTTTGTGTACATAGTTTGTGGGGTTTTTTTGTTTGTTTTGTTTTTTCAGAACTATTGGACACAGGGCTGGAGAGATGGCTCAGTAGAATATGCACTTCCCTAGCAAGCGCAAGGGCCTGAGTTCAATCCCTGGTTCCGCCAAAACAAAAACTATTTGGAGCCGCATGACTCAGAACTCCTAAGTAGTTCTCTGTGTATTTTCTAGGAACAAGGGTATTCTCTTACATATAGCCAGAATATAGTGATCCAAACCAGAAAATTTTGCTGGATGTCATAGCATAATGGTGTTCACTTATCTCCAGTGGTCCTCATGATGCCCTTTCTTGTCTCTTCTTCATCTGGTCCAAGACTCAGTCCAATTCTCAGATGTCTCTGTCATCTTTTAGTTGACACAATGTCTCAGTCTTCCTTCCTTTACGTGACCTTGACATCTTTGAAGAGTACAATAAGGGCCTGAGGTCAATCCCCAGTTCTGCAAAAAAAAAAAAAAAAAAAAAGAGTACAAGGCAGATTTTTTTTGTAATCCTTTGTAATACATAACTTTAATGCTATGGAAGGCTGTACTGCTGTATGTGTATCTGCTCCCTCACTGTAATGGTGTTTTAAATTTCCATAACTAGACACATACAGTTTTATCAGAGTCTGTGCTCCTGTTGTGTGACTTAGAAGGAACTCAGAATGTTTTCTGGTGGATGTATGTGCTCACCCTTGTCCTCTTCTCACAGAAGGCTCCGTGGGCAGTGGTCGGGGCAGCATTGTGGACAGTGAGGAAGAGAAGGAGGAAGAGGTAAGGACTTTCTTCTGACCAAGTAATGGTGAGGGTGAGCAGGAAGCTTAAGTGTTCAGCAGGTAAAGTCCATATTTGTGAGTTAGCTATCTGGTTTTATAAAACTTTTAACAGAATGATGGAAGCCACAAGCTGAAGCTAGATTTCCTCTTCGTTCTATATACAGAAACAACAAAAATTAATCCAATGTCCTTAAGGGTTAGCGTCCTTTAATTTCTCCATTGAATCACTCCTTTTCCCAGCATTGTTGAAGACATAATCATTCTTTGAGTATAGTCTATCTGAATGGTTCCATGGAAAAAATATCTGCATCTAATACATTTTTACTATAAAAGCAGACCAGAAGATATGAAAACCATTGCTGCTACTTCAAGTACACTCATGTCCACAGAGCACAATCTGGCTGCCCAGCCCTTAGAGGGGACATTTTGACTCAAGTTGTTTTTGTTTGATTGATTGGTTTTTTTTTTAAATCTTTTTATTTTTGTATTTATGTATATATGTATGTATTTGGTACAGGGTCTCACTATACAGCGCAGTCTCAGTGAGAGGCTCAGCACTCCCGGAGACAGGGACGGCGCAGCATGTGGTGCTTAGGATTGAACCCTCATCCTTGCGCTTGCCTAATCAAGCACTTAGTCCACTGGGCTATCTTGCTGGCCCAGAGGGTCATTTTGAAGGAGAGAGACACCATAAGGAATGGTCCTTCAGTATTAGAATTCTGAGAGGAGATGGATTTGTGTGTTCCCCTCATGTGTCCTGTTGTCTACACTCAATCTGCTACCAGCCTTCCTGCTGCTCCCAAGCAGAAAGGAGCTTTCCTTTGGTAGCCATGCCAAACCCAGTAGGTCACTGCCTTCTCTGTTTTTAGAATTCATTGTCACCCTTCACCAGATTGCTGGTAGAAAATACTACTGTTCCCATGGGTCTGATGAAGCAGTTATCCTACATAGAGGAAGTACAGAACGTAAAGCCAGAATGTGAAATAATACAACTGACTTGCCAGGCATTGCAGTGCATGCCTATAATCCCAGCTCCCAGCTGTGACACAAGTGTTGGCATGAATTCAAGGCCACCCTGGGCCACATAGTGAGCTAAAATCCTGCCTGGGCTATATAGCAAGACCCTGTCCAAGAAAAGAAAAAAGAAACTGATATAATTAAATGTATAGCTCTTACTTTGAATTCACAAGACAAAATCCAGAATGCAACTGCCATTAAAAACTGGTTAGAGGTGTTAAAATGGACCAGCTGTGGCAGCCTTCACACCAACTGTCCACCTTGTCTGCCCCGGTGTCCCTGAGGTGGCTTTTGGTGGTTCCACAGTCAGAGTATCAGGGCTCGTCCTCTGCATGGTAGCATCAGCTGGCCCAGAGATGTAGATGTAAAGACCCCTGCTGAGTCAAGCCTCTGCTAACCCAGCCATCTTCCCCCTTAGGAGTCAGACGACGAATTTGCCAATCAGAGTGACAACGATCAAAACAAGGTAAGACCCATGGATTGAAGTAACTTTATTTTTTTTAAGTGTTACTTGAGGCATGGCATCCATATTAAATCACTTCTAACTTAGCGGCCAAGTGAGGATTTTCTTACATTAGAGTGAATTTTCCCTTAAGAACATCACATATTTAAGACTACCCTCCTTTTCTTTCAATTTTACTTTACATTTTCTCGAGCCCGTTACCCAAACTGAACTATTTCAAGTGAATCCTCCTGGCCTTCCTGTTTTACAGTTTGAGACAATGTAGGACTGGAGGCTGAGCTCTGCAGTTGAGCACTTTCCTGGCACGCGGGGGGCCCTGGGTTCTGTCCCCAGTACCACAAAGGGTGGAAAAAAATCAAAACTTAGAAAGAAACTTGCTGCTATCTTACTTTTGTAACTCCATAAAGGGCATGTTGTGTTTTATGTTAACAGTATTTCTTTTGACATTTTAAATACCTTTTGTAATTTTGTGTGTAAATGTGTGTGCATTGTGTCCCTGTAGTGTCAAGGATGGAACTAGGGCTAGCACATGCTAGGCATTCCACCACCAAGCTTTATCCCCAACCCTGTCTATATTTGTCATTGTACTGATACAGGATAGAGTGGTCTAAATTAAGGGCAATCACTTATTTCTTGGTTTTAAATATACACATAAACGCTTTTTTTTTCCACAAACTTTCTTAAATAGAGTGATGTAGACTTGTATTAACATGTTCACGATGGAACCATAGTTTGTGTGCTTCACTGCTGGAGACTAGAACCACTTGATGTACATGCATTACTGCCCCAAAGGACAGCCTTTAATTAATTTTATTAGGAAAAGACAAATAGAAGTGATTTGATCAGGCTGGCCAGATAGCTCAGCGGACTACAGTGCCTGCTTAGAAAGAGCTCAGCAGCTGGGGTTTGATCCCCTGCATGCCATGCCTGCCGTGCGTGCCCTGCCCTGCCCCACCCCCAGCGTGCGCTGGGACAATGATTGAGACTGGGTGTTGTGGCGTGCACCTGTAATCCCAGCACTTAGGAGGCTGAAAACAGGAGGAGCATTACAAGTCCAATCTGTAGTGAGACCCTGCAGACCCTGTACTAAATACAAAAAAAATAATAATAATAGAAAAAGTGGTGCAAGCTAAGTGATAGGACAGCCATGGAAATACCACCAAAGGTTCAAGCCAGTGGGGACAGGTTCACACTTCTTGCTATTACTGTTTGGTGGACAGTCTTAGTTATAGATCATGCAGATTGATTTTTCTGCAACTTGACCAAGATCAGGATGATGGTTTTAGCTACATTTTTTTCCAGAATACATGTACCGTGGTATATTGATGTAATCTCAAATTTGCATTTCAATTTCCTAATTGGGAAACTTTTCACAAAACATTTCAGTTATCAGATGAAGGGCTTTGTACGTTTTCATGGTACTTCTGTTTGATTGTATTCACAAAACGTAGCTGGTCTCTATAATCTTCCTTTGGAATATATTTCTAAAGAAATTACTATTAAGATCTATATAGTTTTTCAAACAGTACAATATAGTGGTTAAAGTCATCAGCTTATCCAACTGTTTTTATTGTTAAAACAGACTGGTTTGTGTACCATAACTCACCTCAGAGTTGTAAGGATTAAATTAGAAAGCAGAGTACTTCCAGCATAGTAGTGCCTGACAGCTTACTGACTTAAACAGTGCATATTCATTATACAGAATAGGAGAAATGGGGATTTAACAAATAACTGTGGCTGAGTTTGACCCTCCAGGTCTCACTGTCGTGGCATTCAAGATGACTGTTATGTTGGTCTTCTCCTTGCCTGTGCAAATGCGTCCACAGAGACTAGGGTGGAGGCATATGCTGGATTTGTGGTCTGCCTCAGGTGGCTCTCTTCATGTTGCAGATTTACTCCATGTTCACATTGAGATCAGACTGTATTTACTTATATTTCTCTACTGAGGAACATTTTTGCATTTCAGTAGCTTTTGTATTCCTGCTGCTGTGTTCTTATTAAGAATGAAATGCTTTCTTTGGATTCTGATAAGTTAGTCTTGTGCATTATCTGCAAATGTGCTTCAGCACTTGCTGTCTTATTTCCATCATTATTTTTAAAAGCGGTTACCTTTTGAAGGATGAGCCTAAGGCCAAAGCAGTGGTGCCTTTTCAGCTTGCTGTCGTGCATCTAGAAGCTCTAACCTGGTCTTGTGTATTCTCAGCACATCACACAAATAAGTGATGAAGAAGAGGATGATGACGCTGACCTCTTCGCTGACTCTGAGAAGGAGGAAGATATTGAGGACATTGAAGAAAATACTAAGCCAGTAAGAGAGCATCATAAGCTCTTAGGAATGGTACCCTTCCGCTCGTTTACTGTCTTGTCACTCAAATATGTAGCTGTCTGTATTTGTAAAATCACTTATACTCCAGAAACAGTGGTGAGCACCCCCAGTTGTCTTACAAGTATTACTTTCTTCTTCCAGTGTTAGGATTTTATAGGTCAGGTCTTTCAGAGGATAGTCAGTTTCAGCATTTCAGGGCCTCTCTCCCCAACCCCAGCACCTCAATCTAGTTTTCTCACTAAGATCTTCTTACCTAGCTTCCTCCAAACCTGCCCAAAAAATTACAGGGGATATTTGCATTTCTATGAAATTGTAAGGGTTTCCATGAAAGTAACTAGTTAAGTTTTTTTTTTAAAAAAAATTTGTGTGTGTGTGTGTGTGTGTGTGGCCAGCTCAGCCCACCAGGGTGCTGGGGTATCGAACCGTGGTCCCTATGCTTTGACTAAGCTTGTTCTAAGTAGGTGCTTTAGACCACTGAGCTATCTCCCCAGCCCACTAGTTAAGTTTTAAGGAAAAATCAGAGAACAACTGAGATTACAAACTCTGAACTGCAGCGTCACAAGGGTATTCTGTATTGGTGATGAAATAATGAGCCTTTTAAAGGTGCATTTCGTGAGTCCTGTCTCTCGGATAATCTCCCATTTCATCAAACCCTGTTTTCTCCTCAGCTCAATTTCTTTCTTTGCTTTTGGTAATGTAGTTTTGTTAGGTGTCCAAAAGTAAAATGTGCTTCTCTATTAAAAGAATGATTCTTCTGGTCTCTCCCGCATCTAGAAAAGACCCACATCATTTGCCGATGAGCTGGCAGCTCGGATCAGAGGGGACTCGAGCCGGCTGGGCGAGGAGCAAGCAGGTGAGCCAACCAGGACAAGGTGATAGGTCATCCATATGGGGCAGGATCATCTGTCGGCTCCATTGGTGCGAGGTTCTGCTTCTTATTCCAAAGGCTCAGAGAACTAGGCGCTGTGACACCAGGAGAAATGCACATATGCATATCGGTGCATTTTTCTACACAGTTCCAAAGGCCTTACACCCCACACCAGGGTAAGGGGCTCTGGCTTTGTATTTACTCTCATATTTTGAATTTTTTTAAATGTACCATACAACATATTCTGCTTAGTATGACATCTTAGAAAGATGTCATAGTAAATCTTTGAGCAGACTCAGTGCTATGTGACATGCGGGTATGGCCTTCTGCCTCCTGGGGGACACTTGAGTGTGTCATCTGCACCAGGCCCAAGCTCAGCACTCTGGCGGGGTGAGATGCAAAGTTGACTGTCCTACTCTTAGCCCAAGTCTTCAGGACGACAGACACAGAGACATCCGTAATGGGGAGAAGTAGTGGGGAATCGGAACTATCCCAACCTTGTTGTCCTCAGGAGATGCCAAACCTCAGAGGACAATGAAAGAGAAGAAGGAAAGAAGAACTCCTTCAGACGGTAGGCCTCTCCCATAGTTCAGTTATTTAGAAGTCTTTTGACACAGGACTGTCGTTCACTTGATTTATGAAGTACTGCTTTAAATGCTGCTAAGTGGGCTCCATTTCTCTGCACTTGGCCAAAGCATCTGAACGTGTTCTTTGGGATGCCAGGAGGGGCAGAGAATGTGGAATAGAAATACCAAAGATTAGGCTGCATAGCAGGCATCACCTGTCTTTCTAGAATTTCCTAGAGGTAAGGAAACAAGAAGCTAGCATTGTCAGGCCTTTCCACATCCAGCAGCTCTGTCCATCATGTCGCCCATTGCTGTGACCATCTGCAGATGTCCTCCTCCAGAGCCCTGGGTCGTGAGCATGGCAATTGACCTTGCCACAGAAAATCTGGAGGGCAGCATGAAGAACATATTTGGGAAACTGAGGCAGGCGAGTCACAAGTTTCAGACTAGCTAGGTCTGCTTAGGAAGTTCAAGTCTAGACTGTGCTGTACAGCAAAACCCTGCCTCCCACAAACAGTTAAAAAAAAAAAAAAAAAAAGTTGACTTCACTGTAGGTATTTACCAACTTGGAAGTCCAAACCTAGTGAGCCTTTTCGGTGCTTTGAGTGAGTTTCTGTTAGGAATCATCTCTGCTGCTCTGAGCTCCTCCTTGTTACCTGAGGCCAGGTGCATCCATCCCCCTGCTGTGGGCACCGTAGAGGCCTTCCCCAGGACTGTGGGCTCCCAACCCACCTTGGCTCTCCCTGCACATTAATTTCTGCCCACCAGATGAAGAAGATAGCTTATTCGCCCCTCCCAAGCTGACAGATGAAGACTTCTCCCCATTCGGATCTCGGGGTGGCCTGTTCAGTGGTGGACAGGGCCTCTTTGACGATGAGGATGAGGAGGTGAGTCTGAATCTGTATCTGAGTTCATAGTGAGGACTCTGCCTTTGCTTTTAATGAGAAGTAGGTTTCACTGGAAGTTACTTTGACATCAGATCTAGGTACATGTCAGACTTAGCCACAGTAGGACACACTATCTCTTGGGCTTGTTTGTTAGGTGTGGAAAGGATGTCTTAGTAGTGAATGATTCACTTACCTCAGTGATTATTTCTTACTTTACTTTTTCCATTTTCATATTTAATGTCTGGGCTGCCCAGATTACTTAAATGTCTCTATAGTCTTCACTTTGCAACTGACTTTCTGGCAAAATAATACATATAAAGCTTCTAGGTTTTAGGGTCCTAGAGACCCTGCATTGTGGGTGCATTCCCCTCCCATGTTCATTGCTCTGTGTCCTTATTTTGCCCAGAGTGACCTCTTCAGGGACCCTGTTCGGGACCAGCAAATGCCAACTCCTGTAAATGAAGGTAAGCTCCCTTTCTTCATGTGAGAGTCCAAAACTCCACTTTTCCCATTAGGAGGTAGAAACCTCAAGTGGTTCCCAAGCTGAGAGGTGTTTTGCTTAGACCAGTTGGAAATAGTTTGTCTTCCTGTGTTGGTCAGGTTTGTCACGTCAGTGCTGGGGCAGAGCAGCTGAGATGACTTAGGAAAACAGGATTGTTTGGGCTCATGGTTTCCGAGTCTGTCAGCTGTGGACATGTGGCACCACTGCCACGGTCCTAGGCTGCGCGGCCCACTGTGAGGTGAGTAGGGGTGGTGATGCTGCTCCCACAGGGCAGCCAGCTGGCAAGAGAAGGGAGAGGTCAGGTCCCAGTGTCCTCTCAGGGGTGTCCTCACTGACCAACTTTCTCCTAGAGCAATGTTGGTGAACCTATGGCATGCATGGCACAGCTAGCTGTTTGCCTGAAAATTCTGAAAGGTTCACCAGCTGGGGACAGAGCCTTCAACACTTGGACCTGTGAGAACATTCCATAGATGCCAAAGCACTTCATTAATTAGGCTCTTGCTAAAAATGGTACCATCTGTAAACTCCTTCAGGAATTCAGAAAATGTCAGATAGGACGAGTATAGTGGTGTGGAGAATATTTTTAATAAAGTCTAATTCACAGAAAATCTTTTTTCTATTTATTTATTTGGCAAAGGGTCTCTCTATGCAGCTCAGACTCATAGTAATCCTCCTGTTTTTAGCCTCTCTGGGGCAGGGATTATAGGTATGCACCACCATGCCTGGTCTCGGTGGTAGGACCATCATAGCATGTGGTGCCAGTGATCAAACCCTTTATTTTTATTTTTACAAAGAAAATCTTTTCTAACATTTTGCATCAGCATGTTCAGTCATTAATTCTCCGGTGTGTCAGGTGCATCTTGAGTTTTTCAGAAGCATAGAGCTTGTTTTTTCAGTCTGCACCTCTGTCTCCGGATTGAGGTGCTCTCCTGGGCTGCCCTCGCAGGTGCTGGGCTGTGGCATGGGTATTCTGTCTCCAGTGTCTGCTGTTGCGTTTTGGTGTCAATGACTCATCTTATTTCTGTCTTTGTTTTTATGGTCATCACTTTTGTCACTGATACTGCACATTTTTGTTGCTGTTCCTTTTTACTTGTTCATGTCATCACACTGGACCAGACAGAGTTAGGGCTAGTGTTTGGGACCTGGCTGCCAGGCCCAACCCCACTGTTAACCTGACTGCCATCAGAACTCCTCACCTTCCATGGAGTCACAACTTAGACTTAGTGCCAAAGAACTCCTGACACCACTAGAGAGAAAAGTTTCAGGGATGTTTAATGGCTTACTTAGGAAAACTCAGTTCTGAGAAGTCCCCTGCTAGGTATGCATTGTGCTACACATACTTTAAGAAAGAGGGGTTTGTAAAGAAAATATTGGTCACTTTATGAATTGTCTCTTTCTTCCTCACTCTAGAGTCCTCCTCCTCCAAACCTGGAAAGAAAATCCCAGCAGGAGGTGTTTCTGTATTTCTAGGTAACATGGGGATTGCTGTTTAAAAATCATAGGAACTCTGTCCTCCTCTGAGAATGGGTTGGAGAGGAAGCATCTTTGGAGGGTGTGGAGTGGCCTACAGAGGCACTGAGTTACTGAGGCCAGTGCAGGTCCTCTTGGAAGCCTGTGGCCTTTGACGGGGCTGAGGCTTACCTTCTGTGCACAGGGCACTGGCTTCCATCTCAGCCCTGCAAAATAATCTTTAAAAAGAATGAAATGGGTGGCTTCTACTTCTTCGAGTGACCATATGGTCCTGTGTTGTGGGTCATTAACTAGCAGTCGCAGAGGCCATTGTTTGACCCTGTTGGTATGTTTAGTGATAAACTGAAACTAGGATGTTGTTCTCCGTGGGTGGTGCTGCTGCTTCTCAAGTCTTGAGGCCCATTGGCACTGGCTCACAGCCATGGCTGTCCTGTTTGCCCTCAGTGGACACAGATATGCTTGGGGCACCAACCACTCCTGTGCCGAAGGAGCCCCAGAAGCCGGAGCAGCCCACTCCAGGGAAAAGCTCATACGTCCCTGCTGCTAGTGGCCTCTTTGATGATGATGACAATGACGACTTTTTCACAGTGTCCTGCAACAAACCTTCAAAGACAGGTATGTGTCTCACCTTCTGATTCTACAGATTTGATTGATGAAAACTGTGGCCCCAAAGAGGATGCCACTCCCCTAGCCTCTGCAGTTCTGAATCCCACCTTCCTATCTTGGTCTCTTCTGTGCTTCCTGGAGTTTAGCCTCAGAGGTTGCTGTAGAATGCACTGTCTTTTCTGCTCTGGAACTCAGAAGATGATCTTTCTATAGAGAGCTGAGCCTTTTACCCATACTTTCTCTCAGAATCTGTAGTTCTGGCCTTTGGAGTTACAGAGGCAATTTTCGGCAATTACAGAGAAACGGTGTGCTGGCCATGTCATTCCCAGCTTCACACCTCTCTGCAGACGAGCCAGGTGTCCGGGTGTGATGGAGGTACAACCCTGTCCAGGGGGCCCCCTCCCTTCTGCTCACTCAGGTTTAAGTCATCACTCTGATGAAGTCTTCATCTCATCTGTTTTTTTTTTTTCCCCCATAGTTTTGTTGGTAAACAAATAGCAATGAGACAGTTTCAAATCAAATTGGTAGAAGAGTTTCAATAATAACACATTGCATACATTCTTCCTAGTGGTTAATTGCTGTACAAGATGTGGACATGATATCCTGTTTACAAACACCATTAGAACAAATCCCTCTATTCATTAAGAGAATGTAACTATATATCTATCCTAACCACTTTGAATACACAGATACAAAATGGACATTCATCTGTATACCCTTTTTTTGTTAAGTTCCGTTATTTGAATATTATAGGTGTATAAACTCAGCAAATCATCTGTTCTTGAGATACAGGTGGATCTGGGGGCTGCTGTCAGAATGAGACCTGTGATCAGATGCCTCTGAGTGGGGCCCCAGTCTGTGGATAGTAGCATGGCACTGTTCTGTGGGCCACACTTGGAGGAGCAAGGCTTGGGTACAGTGAAGGCTTTCCCAGAACAAGAGAGTGGACAGTTGCCAGGATATGAACAAAGGAAAGACTGAAGGGTGACCCAAGGAAGAGAGAGAACCAGAGTTGTTCACACACAGGCTATCCACACTGACTCCTTTCCCAGGTCAGGTGTAGAAAATAGTCAGTGTCTTCCTTATGTTAGAAAGAGGGTAGGCTGGTGTGTGGTGTGTGGAGACCTCAGGAAGCTGAACTGACAGTGGGTGAAGGCAGAGGGCCCCAAAGGGTTCTCAGTTGCTATCCTTGAGAAATGTTTGGGGGTCACAAATAAGTCAGTGCTGCTTTGTTTGACAAGATTGTCTTGGGACATTGAGAATCGGCACCCTCATTTCACTGACTCAGGCTTCATGCAGGGCAGCAGCAGTGCTGTGGGGGTGAAGTCCTTATGGGTTGATTTAGGAAGATTTTGTAGGTGCATTTGGTGGAAAGCACAGTTGGTAAGATATGTACACGGCTTGGCTTGCCGTCATAGCCCTGTTTGTGAACAGCTAGAGTTGATCGTTAACTTTTGGGGAATCTTGAAGCATGTGTGCCCTGCTTTCTGCTGTCTGTCTTGTCCAAGTGGGTGCGTAGTTTTCAGGGGAATTTTAGTATTTCCTCCTGTAGTTTTACTTTTCTTATTTTATTCATTTTAATGAGAAAAAAAAAATAGCAGTGAAACAGTTTCGAAACAGGTTAGTAGGACAATTACATAATTAATACATTGCATATAGTCTTCAATTAGTTATTCAAAGAACAAGATGCAGACATGATATTTTTGTCTAAACAATATTAGTACAAACCCTTCTTCTCAACAAACTAAGACAAAGTAGCTGCATATCTATCCTGTCTTGTATATACATATATGTATTTTTTTTCACTACCAAACTGTCCTTTATTTATATCCCCCTTCTTTGTTTTGTTTTGTCATCCTCACATCTTAGATTCCTAGAATTCCAATTTGGTGGTTGTGTCAAATGATGTTTCTTTAAGTCTCTTTTTCAGGTACCTGTTAAGTCACTCCCAGCACCTCCAAGCATTGTGCCACTTGGATAAGTGGGTCAGCCAGTGGGTTAAAGTGTCTGTCCTGTTTCACCTAAGCTACTGTTGTGCTCTTTGAAAGGCATTAGGGAAATGGGGCTCGGGTGAGCTCAGCGGTACAGCACTTGCCTAGCATGCAGGAGGTCACAGGTTTCATCCCCAGCACCACGTAATCGGAAAGAAAAAAATATCAAAAGAGAATGTGGTTTCACTTTCTGCTTCTTTATAACTAATCAGAAATACTATTCCTTTTCTGTCCCATTCTTTGGGAGAGAAAAATGTTTTAATCTGCAAATATAGTGATAAGATTTTGATCTTGTCTTATGGTGTCTTTTTGAAGAAAAAATCAGATCTACTGCCAGCCTCTTTGATGATGAAGAAGGTGATTTGTTCAGAGAAAAACCAGCAGCTATGCCTGAACCAACTGTGAAACAGAAGGATGAAAACAAAGCAAAGGCAGAGCAGACGGTGAGTGCAGGGAGCAGGGCAGAAAGGGGTGCCGCTCCCGGTACCTTAGCGGTTCCTCTGGGGCCTGGAAAGTAGTGTAAAGAATTTCAGGCATGAAATTGAAAGAAGCTGATGAACTCTAATTACCACTCTGAACCAGCAGTTGCTCCGATTTTACCAGATGTTTTATACATCTAAACCTATTGGGCCAGCCTGATAGCTCAGCAGACTAAAGTGCCTTGTTAGGCAGAGCACAGTGGCCAGGCCTCAGTCCCCAGCATGCCATGCTCAGCCTCGCCTACGGGGCGCACTGAGACGGTGATTGAGACTAGGTGTGGTGTCATGAGCCTGTAATCCCAGCCCTTGGGAGGCTGAAAACAGGAGGATCACTGAGTCTGATCTAGGGAGTGAGACCCTGTACACCCTATAGACCCTTTCCTAAAATACAAAAAAAATAAATAAACCTATCTGCACATGTTTTATTTTTTATTTTTTTTTTTTTTTGTGGAGAAGCTGTACTTACCATGACATTTTAGCCACAAATACTAAACATCTTCTGAACAAGAACTGCTGTGTAATCAGGTGCCCTCAGCAGCAGCTGAGATTGCAAGTAGTTCTCTAGCAGGTTCCCAGTGTCTAGTCCACATTCACAGTGTTCTAGTTAGCCCTGAAATGTGTTAGAAGCCGTATCATACTAATGTGAAATTATTCCATATTCAGTCTTTTTCTCTTGTCCTCAAAATGTCCTTTGTAGCTCTTGTTTTACTTTGCTTCATTTTGAAGAAACCCAGGATCTGGGCAGTATTTCTGGACGGCATTTGCTCGTCTTGTTTCTTTCGTGCCCTTTAATCTGAAATAATGCCTCCTGTTCGTGTTTTCCTTACTACAGCCAGTTGTCCTGTAGTGTTCACACTCTGAATTTACCTTACTGTTTTCCTACAGTTAGGTTTAGGTTAACTGTTTTTGGAAAGAACACAGGCCAGGCAGGTACTGAGTCAGCTCTCACGATGCCCCAATGCCCACGATGCCCCCATGCCCAGCTCTTGACTCTCATAGCAGTTGGAAAGGCGCCCACTCTCTCGGTCAGTAACAAGTTGGTCTCTTGATGTTTGACACTGTGAATATCCTGTTCTCTGCCAGCTATGGGCTTAATGGTTTTAACGTCCGCTCGTAGCTTTCCGGGAGGGGTAAGTGCCTTTCTAGCTCTAGTTCCCAAACTTGCTAGCTAGAGTTACAGCTGGCATTCTTCTGAGTAGGACTGTCCTCTCTTCCTTGCCCCAGTTTTCAGTATTGTCATGGGAAAGGTGATTCTTTTTTTTTTTTT